CTTACATATGAATGAAAAGTCATCAAAAAAAGATTCCACTGCGTGAGCTTTCGTATCCTAATGTCATGCGTGGGTGAACGACAGCCTGGGGGTAGTCGTCGTGAGTACTGCGCAATTTCCATAGGCGCCGCCAGAGCTACGATGCAGCTTGAGATATATAAGCACCTGTGATGAATTCGATGATGAAAGCGATGGAGGTTGATGGTTTGAGGATGGCGGACCAGGCAAGAAGCCCCTGCCCACGTGCAGGTGCGCTAACACAGACGGAAGCCACGATGACGTTGATGAAGCTAACCCGCGCATCCGTCGCGTCGTCGCTGCCAGATGCGCGACGCGTCTTTGTCCACCCAACATGTATCCTTTATTCGATCACATTGGCCGATCATAGCCATCTGCTTATCGCGATTACTCTGCAGCGGAGGTAGGTGACCAGCGCGAACCAACTCCAAGTCTCAGTCCGAGCCAAAGGCGTACTATGTTCTTCGTTACGACAGAAGGGCAGGTAGTACATCGCATCCTTAAATGCTAACATCAGGACGAGCTGGAATAGATGCAATGGTGGCTAGCAGACAGCACGTTCCGCCTAGACGACCGCCTCTACTTCATAACGCATCACTAAAATCACATACCCAGAAAAAGATGGTCATATAACCTTCTGATTCTCCGACTATCGCGACTAGTCTAGCAAAAGTCCAAAGATTTCATCAGATGTTGCCCAAGGCGGGTTCCAAGTGGCCTCCAATTCCTCCAAAGTATCCGCAGCGCAAGATGCCGTCATCTCTCATCATTGGGACAGATTCCGCCTCGTGACGCTCATCTTGATGCTCATTACCCTCCTCCTACGAGCGATTCCGCATCTGACAAAACACGCAGTCCCGACAATGTCGTTGCCGAATCCGCGCTGTAGTATCGAGAGGCTCTACTTCTTGACCCGGCGATTGGTAACCGCCGGTCTCGGTCGCCCATTGTGCAGTCGCTTGCCAGATGGCGATATCGCTAATCATCCTGTCGCGGTCTTCGGTCTCATCGGTGGTCTCGCTGCCACTGTCGGTGCTCATATCGGTGACGGCCGGCGGGATGGTAAGGGCTTCGGGAGTGCTGTGTCCTAGTGAGACGGCTGCTGGGGGTGGTGAGCTTCCAGGCTGTGGTTGACCGGGCGGGAGCTTCTGCGGGACAGCTATAGGCATGCGAGGTGTGAAGTTGGGTGTGGATGGTACGGTAGCTGGGCTGTCTGTTCCTTCTAGCTTGGTCGTGTGCTTGACCGGAGCAGCTCGATTGCCAGCGATGTCAGCCCACGTGGTACCCTGTGGCGCCGCCGCGGGATCTCTCGCAACGTATGGTTCCAGCGGTGGCGTGAAGACCGGTGCGTCTTCTTGTGCTGGCTCGTCGAAGTACCCTGGTTCGTCTTGCTCCGCCATTCCTAGCGGCCGACTCGCTTGCCCTTGATCCCTCAGGTATCTCACCGACTGCCGCTGATTGTACATTTCCACTTTGAGAATGACGTTTGCTATGCGCGTCTGGTCTGTCTCCTCTTGTGCTCGCGCTGCTTCGGCTCTGGTGCGGAAGCCGACGACGATGGTGGTAACATTGCTATTCGGATAGACGTTCTTAAGGCTTGTCGGATTGTAGCTTTCGTACATTTTTTTCAACTCGTCTGTCTCGATGTAGCCGGGTACGTTCTTGACGAAGATGAGGTGCTCGTTCGCCGCTTTGGCGCCATTGTTCAGAGGCATCGTAAATGTTGCGCAGTGTGGGCGGGATTGTGGGGCTTTGGTTTGTATTTGCGAAAGTCTTGGTGTTGTAAAATCTAAGTCTGTCTACAAATATAAGCGATGACGAAAAGCCGAAGTGAATGTGCTGCTAAGGATTGAGATTGTGCGTGTGTGTAGAGAGGTGCAGTGGTACCCTGAGAGTTCTTGTGACGTTCGCGTGTCAGATTAGCGAGTAGATAAGGGTCTTCGACTTCTGCAGTGTTGCTCCCACAAGTGGTCCTTTTGCTGTCGCGGAAGGTGTATCGGTGTAGTGGTGTAGGTGCGCACCTGATTATAGATGAATGACGCAGAGCATGTCGGGCCCATAAAGCCCCGTGAGAATGCGTTCGTCCTCATGGTACGCAGGCAAACGGAAAGACCGAAGAAAGAGCAAGTGACTGGGAGTTGTAAGGACGGTAACGAGACATTTGACCCCAGAAAGTGATTAATCGCGTCGTAATAGGCTCAACAAGGCTCGAACAGGGTCCAGTGCACCAGAATGAGGAAGGCATGATCTAGGTCTTGTGCTGAATGCTATCACACATCCCATGGAGAAATTAGAAAGCTCAATACGATGTAACATACAGTGCAGACGTGAAGTGCGCAAATGCAGCGCAGTGAAGCGCGTTGGTTTCGAGACCAATACTACGTCATGCCGCCTAGTCTAGCCTACCCGCGTGCTCATCCCTGCACTTTCGGGTCATCGCGCTCGCTCCCCGATAACCATACCTAGGTATCCTGTTTGCGCTCGTCTTGTAATAATCCGATTGCATCGACTGTGAATGGGATTTTGGGTGTTTGGGCATAGCATGATGCTGATACTGAAAGCCATATCGACGTGCATCCATTGCGCTGACACAGATTTCCAGTAAATCTACATCTTTTAGCTTTTGTCGTGCTCGAATCCCTACAAATGATCATGCATACCCAGCCCTGTTAGACCGGATCTGTGAAGACCATAGATTCGAAACATGGGTAGGTATGATAAAGTATCTAAATCTAGCATGACCAGCTTACTCGTGTCTAAAAAAGACACAGTGGTAAAGTGTGTATGAAAGATACGACTCTGACTTGCCTATCAGAGATTTACAAAGAACAAGAAAGGTAAAATGCTAGGTTAGGAGCTGTGGTTGGCGCTGTACATGAGAACGAAATACAATGGCAAAGATTAAGGCCAACACGACACGAAGACTCTTCGAATAAGCATGCGCAAGCCATCGACTTCACGACTCAAGGTATGATATGACTGAGGGTATTGTTCTATTATTCATTTACTTTTTACACCAAAGCTCGACGACCCTAGACCACCTAGACCTTGATCACAACCTTATGTGGCGCATCCTTCTCCTCCGGCTCACCAAAGATGTTAACCGGCCACCTCGGCTTGTTAGCCGTGTAAGGAATGTTGAAGCGACGCGGCTCCTTCTTGCCAATCTCCTCGACCTTTGCAAAGTCGTCTTCCGACAGATCAACCTCCTTGAAGTTCTCTTGGATGCGGGATGCAGTGACGGACTTGGGGATGACGGAGTGGCCGCCGACCTGGGCCCACGCGAGGATGACTTGTGCGGGGGAGGCGTTGATGCGGGTGGCGATCTCCTTGATGGTGGGGTGCTGGACGAGGAGGGGCTCGCCGACCATGTTGTTGCCGAAGGCCTAGGTGGGGTGGTTAGTAGGTGTTGGGTTAGGGAGATGGAGGGGAGGTGCTTACGGAGTACTCGGTGATGTGGATGTTCTTCTCCTTGCAGTACTGGATGAGCTCTGGCTGGAGAAGACGGGGGTGGCGCTCGATCTGGTTGGCAGCAGGGGTGACACCGGTGCCGTCGATGATGGCCTGGAGGTGCTCCTTGGTGTGGTTGGAGACACCGACAGCGCGCGCCTTCTCCTTGGGCAGCTGTGTCATGGCCTTCCATGTGTCGACGATAGAGACGTCGTCGAGCATCTTGACGTCCTCGCCCTCGAGAGGGAAGAGGTTGTTGTGGACATCGCCGCGCTCGTCGAAAGCGACGGGGAAGTGAACGAGGTAAAGGTCTAGGTAGTCGAGGCCAAGCTCAGCCAGGCAGTCGTCGAGAGCGCCGGGCACGTCCTTGGGGCGGTGCTGCGAGTTCCACAGCTTGGATGTGATGAAGACGTCCTCACGCTTGAGGTTGGGGACCTCGCCGCCAAAAGCCTTCTTGAGGGCCTGGGCGATCTCCTTCTGGTTGCCGTAGACCTTGGCGAGATCAAGGTGGCGGTAGCCAGCCTTGAGGGCCTCGAGGACGGCAGCGCCGACCTGACCAGGCTCAGCTTGCCATGTGCCGAAACCAAGTTGGCTGGAAAGGTTAGCAATTGCTACGTATGTCTGCGGGGTGTTTGTTTGGGTACTCACGGAATGGCAGCGCCAGTGTTGAGAGTAACCTTCCTTCCGAGAGACATGATTGCAATTGGTGAAGTTGGGGTATCAAGAAGAAAAAGTAAAGAGTTTGTGAGTTATCAAATGCGGATGTTCTGGACCTTTAAACGTTGTCTGGGGAAAAAGTTGTCGGAGGTGGGATGGAGGGGTCGGAGACGTCACCGAGCCCCAGACGGCACCATCTCCATGTTTGGCAGCCGCCTCCGCGCATCAACAATGTCCGACGGTCCACCTTACAGACTTCTGCGTCATGCATTGGTTCGCCTTCGCCAAAGTCGCGGTAGTCGTGTCTCAACAAGCATCATCCATCGGCGCTACGGTGTTGGAGAGGCTTAGGAGTATCTGCCGTCGAACTACCGCGGACACGTCGCGTCGCCATTGGTGGATGAAATGTGGCAAACGCGAAGTTTTTGTAGGCGGCCTTCAGGGACCGGGTCGCAAACGCCTATTGTCTTGTATAAGCGCGGGCATCATGCGGAAGAGCTATGGCGGCTGCATGTCAAGATGGGGTTGGCTTGGTGACATCGATGGCGGCATGCGGATGGGACTGACCTCGGCGCATCAGACGGTTATATAAGCGACCCACTCTACAGCCACGTCGCCTTTCCATGGCGTTCCGGACATGTGAATTCGCGCGTCTCTGACATTTGCATCGTTACCTGTACTGTAAAGAGCAGGAGTATGTTGATGCAATGCCCAAACGTGGGCGTAGCATCGATCCAACACTATCTTACAAAAGAGAAAAATTAAACACCTTATAGCCTACATTAAGATGAAAACGTACAAAGTAGGGGACCTAACGTCGACGTCGGCTCTAGGGTTTTCAGTTTCTCCCTTGTATCAGGTGGTCACCAACCTATTCATCTCATAATCCTCTCCCAAAATGTCAGCCCCTCCCGTACATCCACTGCCTTAACCCTCATCTCCACCCCCTTCTCCTCCCTCCCAGGCATCGTCAAAAACCCCATCCTTTGATTCCCTTCCACGATTAAGCTACACACCGAGAGTGTCACAGTCTCCAATTCCGGCGCTCCGAGCCCGGCGATCAAGCTCGTAAGACTGCCCTTCGGGCCTAACTGTAAGCACAGCTCCAACATATCCTGTGCGTCCGTGTAGTCAATGTCGATGTGTTCGACCATCTCCCGAAGGGGCTTAGGTAGGATAGCGAAAGCGGAGAGGACGGTGTGTTTGTAAGTCATTTCGCCTTTGATGTTGATGTGCAGGGTATCTGTGTCTGGGATGAAGAGGAGGGGTTTGGTTGTGCCGGATCCGCTTCCCCTAGAGTTGGAAACGGGGAGGTGGAGGTGATGCGGCGCAGCGAGGAATTTGCACTCGGCGGAGAAGAACTTGCTGGTTAGGTGCAAGCTGATGTCGCGGTTGACAGAAGGGAGGACCCTGTAATGTACGGAGCAGGGAATGCTTGCTGCTAGTACAGAGGCTGCAGAATTGGGTCGGCGAAATTTGATGTCGGCGTGGAGATGGCGGGGGGATGCGTGGATGGCATTGTTCCAGGCGTATTTTATGATGCGGGCTTGGAGTTCTGTAGGGAGGGAATTGAAGGAATCGAAGACTGATGCGGGTTCTTCGACAGGGAGTGTTGGCTGTAAATTTGGCTTGCCTTGCGTAATGTTGGATTTTGGCATGTTTGAAGCGGTCCACGGGTCTTCATAATCTTGATGGTTTGAGAGCGGTGATGATAGAAGAGTGAAAAGTGGTTATTAGGTAGTATCCTGTAAGATTTCAAAATCAAAAATGAAAGGCGAGGGCAACAGTTGGTGTCTTTAATATATACAGCATTAATTGATGAATTATCGTACCTTGGTTAAGATGTGGCAGTCGCGCTGGGTTTAGACGAGATAATACGCCCCAACCAAGGTAGAGCCCAAAGACGATACACGACACAGCCACCTTATACAGGACAAGTTTGAACAGGTCTGCAGCTTACACCAACGTAGAATCATACAAAATAGATTACCCAACGTCAAGGTAGGCTCCAGAGGGTTCAGGCTTTTCCTTATTTTAGGTGCATCAAGAACACGACCAGGTCAAAGATGATTGCTCACGACATATTTCTTAATGTTTTGTGATTACAGTACATAGATACCATACTTCATCGAAAGCCTTGCCCCAGCGATCCAAAACATAGAAGCCAAGGACCACATAAAGCGCCGATCCACCCATCCTGGTCCCATCTAAACAGGGACTTGAAAAGGAAAACCCGCACAACCCACGCCCGCTACGAAGAAGGTATGGAAAATCGCTCCCAGAAAACATGATAAAAGCTAGAGCACATGGTTGCGGATGTCGCCAGAGACGAACTCGCCTGGAACAGACCGCGTCATGTTTGCTATGGCAGCCATTAGCACGGAACCGAAGAAGAAAGAAGGGGTATCAGAGTCGGTGAGGATGTGGAGGTGCGGTCAGGCAGTGTTTATGACTCGCCTCCTGTTGATGCTGCGGGAGCACCTTCACCACCTCTGAATGATCCCCTTCCTCCGCGGCCTCCGCGTGCGCCTCGCTCGCCACCTCGACCACCACGAGAAGCACCGCCACGGCCTCCGCGACCGCCGCGACCACCCTCGCTGTCTGAGGCACCTCCACTTCGGTAGCCGCCGCCTGAGACGCCACCACGGGTGCTGGCTTGCCAGCTGCCGGCTCCGTACCTAGGCTGGTTGGGACCAGGGCCGCGCTCGTTGTACACCTTGACGGTCTTGTTGTCTGGGCCGCCCCTAGCGTTCCTGACATCGTCTGCAACGCGACGAAGCGCACCGTGCATGTCCTGCGAGGTGGCGAAGTGGGCGACGAAGAAGTGCTTGATCTTCTCCATCTTCTCGACCTTGGACCTGTCTTCCTCTGCGAGCAGACCCTTGGCTTCTTCCTCATCCTTTACACCGGCGATAAAGAGACCCTTGCTCTCCTTGCGCTCGACGGGTTCCCGGGGAGCGGGAGATGTAGCCTTCTCCGGCGCGCCGGTGCCATTGGGCTTGACCTCGCTTGGAATGGACTTTTCAGCAGCATTTGCTGCTGTGTTGTTGGCCGGAGGCTGGGGTGTAGCGGCCTTGACGGTCTCCTTGGGTGCAGCAGCAGGGGCGGGCGAGGGTCCGGTCCGTGCAGCCTGGCCGGCATTCTGCTTCTGCTGTTGAGGAACCGGTGGGGTCGCAACGGCAGGGCGGGGCTGCTGAGGAGCGTTCGCTGGTGGTCCGGCTGAACGACCTGGGGCAGGCGATGGCTGGGCGGAGGGGCTGGGGTTCACAGCAGCTGGAGGACCAGTGCTAGTGTTTGCAGCTGCGGGCTGAGTCTGGCCAGGTGCAACCTTTCCGCCGCGGTGAGCGAAGTTGAAACCTTGGGCCCTCATCTCAGTACCGATTCTGCCATTGTCAATGTCCAGTACGAGCCAACCGTAAGCAGCATCCGCAAGGTTGAAGTTCCACATGTTCTTGAAAGCGCTCTCGTCGATCTGGCCGCTCTGAGGACCGGGAGCCGGGCCACCGAATGGGTTGCCGCCGTTGGCTACGGTTGGCATCTTGTTTACTATGTCAAGTGCCAGTGCCAGCAGGCGTTGTTGAGATTCGCTATCAGCGACCGCGGGCTCGACTTCAGTCTTGACTGTGTCCCAAACATCGTTGAAGGAGGCCTTGGATGCAGCGAGCTTTCCGCGGTAATGGTCGAGGGTGGGGTTGACACTGAACTCGTTGTAGGAGCTACCGTAGCGGAAATGCAGACCAGCGGAGACGGAGAAGTCGGCCTTGAGCGTGACGGACAGCTGGTTGAGCAGGCCTTCGCGAGCGGGAGATGCGTGGGTGACGAATATGCGGGTTTCGGTCGGGTCGTATACGCGGTTGGCTGTGTCGACCAGTTCGCCCATCTGTAGCAGGGTAGTCCACATGGTGCCCTGTCCACCTGCAATGGTCGTCCTGCCCTCGCCGTTGTCGAAGAGCTTGTGCATGACGACAGCGCCACCGAGACCAAGCAGGCGCAGCTTGACGCCACCTACATCGAGCAGCCGCGAATGCGCCTCATCGATGATGTGCAGGTTGTCCACCTTGTACTCGCCCGATCGCAGCTTCTCCAGCACCTGAACATCCTCGCAAGCACCCCACACGGTGTATACTGGCACGTTCAGGGTGTATGTCTTGTTGAGGAAGAGGGGCAGTTCTGAGAGTGGCAGGTGCTCCCGTGCGAAGCGCTCCTTGATAGGCGGTTGCGGAGGGGCTGTGGCAATAGAGCGCTTAACTGCATCTGACAACAGCGGTGAGTACTGTGCCACGTGCTTGAGAGTCTTCTCGGCGATGCGATCGAGCGAGCGGTCGTCGTAGAAGCCAAAGTCGCCGGTGTGGATGATGTAGTTTGCGCGGGCGTCGGCGGCGAGCTGGTTTAGCGATTGCAGGTTTCCTGACTGATGTTAGCGATGAATTTGATACTCGGGTATTGTTATCGCCCTCACCTCGGACATCTGCAATGCACAGCACTCGTACGCTTCCCTGCTGGATCACGCGGCCCTGGTTGGGGAGCAGCGGGACAGCTCCAGGCGCTGGGCCTGAGGGACCACCGGGAGCGCCGCCATTAGGGAGGTAGTTGCCTGGGTAAGGGCGCGGCTGGTTGGGAGCTTGCTGGATGAGGTCAGTATCGATGTCACATGTTGTCAGACTGGAGCGGCAATTGCCAGACATACTGAAGCCATGGAGTCGGAGGCGGAGGGGTCGAGCAACGTGTCCTGGTGAGAGATGCAGATGGCTGGGGTGGGCGGCGGAGATGGGGTGGGGTATTACAATTTCGGAGTAAGAGAGAATGTAGTGGAAGAGCCTCCTCTTTAGTGATGGCAGCGGCGAGTTGTCTGGTCTGCCGTTGCTCCTTCTGTTTTTGCTAACAGCTTTCCGCCGCACAGACCCTGGCCTAGCGCGTCCTATCAAGTCGCGTTGGAGCTGTCTGGAACCTCTACATCTCCAGCTCCCCCAGCTTCCTCCATCCATTGAGCTTTGTTTCCTCATGGTATCGCTGTTTCTTCATCTCGTTTCTGTCATGCAAGCTTCTGAAAAGATGGCTTTCCTCTGCATTACCTCCTGGCATGCACATGGCATCACTGCCAGCCACCGCGGCCTCGTCTCCTAGCTACCTGAAGAGCTGTCACCAACTTCAGATGACGGCATTTGACACACTACTTCCCCCATAGGGCTTTTCTTCGGTCTCTCTACGAGGCAGCTTCAATGCTCGAGCTCAAGAATGTTTGCCAGCTCGCACAGTCGATCTCCAGCGCAGTCTACCGACGCACAAGGTCAGGCTCTACGACCACTAGCCAACAGGAACACCGAAAGGAGAGTCCCCACCGAAGGCTTTTCGCGCTGCTACGTGCTCCTGCAGCGTTTGCTTCTCGAGTTTGCCGCGCTCGTCTGCCATTGGTCGGTGAACCGGCTTACCTAACTTTTGGACCCTAATTTTTGGACCCACTAAAAAAGTTGAAATCCCACCTTCTTCTATCGAGCGGCGCTCTTTTCACAACTGTAAATATCAAAGGTCTTCGCTGCCCCGCGATAGATCACCACAGCCTTGCTTTCTACACAACCATACCGTGAGAGCATCGCCATGGACGAGCAACAGTTTGTCCAGCTGCTCGAGGGCCTCATGGAGCGTATGTTACCCAACCCCGCTCTACCACAGAACCTGTACTGACTTTCTCCAGCCGACACCGAGCGTGTCAAATCCGCTACCTCTACCCTCAACAAGAACTACTACAACTCCCCCGCCTCTCTCAATGCCCTTCTTCAGATCCTCTGCGGCCACCCTAAGCCTCAACTCCGCCAACTGGCGGCCGTCGAGGCTAGGAAGCTGGTGACGAAGCATTGGGCCAACCTGCCTGCGGACCAGAAGAACTCGCTCCGCAACCAGCTGTTCCAGTTCACACTGAACGAGGACGTGACTCTCACACGGCACTCTGCTGCCCGCGTCATCTCGGCTATCGCGTCGCAAGACTTCGAAGATGGCGAGTGGGCTGACCTACCCGGCTACCTCCAGCAGGCTGCCACCAGCAACGAGGCGCGCCACCGTGAAGTCGGTACCTACATCATTTTCACCACGCTTGAGTCAGCGGGCGACTCGTTCCCCGGCAAGCAAGCCGATCTGTACAAGCTGTTCAGCTCCACCATTCAAGACCCCCAGAGCGTTGAAGTCAGGATCAACACCATGCTTGGTCTCAGCCGCTTAGCTATGTTGCTTGAGCCTGACGAGAGCCCCAAGGAGCTTGCTCTGTTCCAGGAGTCCATCCCTGGCATGGTCAACGTTCTGAAGACTACTGTCGACGAGGGTGACGAGGACCGCGCCATGCAAGCTTTCGAGGTCTTCCAGACTCTTCTTGGCTGCGAGTCCGCGCTTCTCGTAAAGCACTTTGGCGATCTCGTCCGCTTCATGCTCGAGCTTGCGTCAAGCACCAACGTCGAAGACGACTACCGTTCCCAGGCGCTCGCATTCCTCATGCAATGCGTTCGCTACAGGAAGCTCAAGGTGCAGGGTCTGAGGATTGGTGAGGAGATGACCTTGAAGGCTCTCCACATCGTCACCGAGCTCGGTGACCTCTCCAGCGAGGAGGAGGATGTCACTCCTGCCCGTTCCGCTCTTGGACTTCTCGATATCCTTGCCTCAAGCCTACCTC